GCTTTTTATTTTAACCTGACTTTAATTTTGCTTAGGTCACTGAAAATATTTTCTTCATTTCCTAAGGATAATATGCCCAATGTGTATTGTGTTTACCCTTCCTTTCTAACAGATATTGTTAAAGCCTGGAATTGTTCTAAAATGGTGCAATAATGCTTTTCCTGTACAAAGATCAACAAGAATAATCATCATTTTTTATATTATGTTTAAGAAGAACCTTGTAAAGTAAAAATCGTATTTGATTTGGTGTTATGTGCCTCTTCTGATTTATCTCAACTAGTTTCCTCTTGATTCTTATCTCTGTAGCCTAATAATCTTTCCATTTTAACTCCTGTGTATTTCCCCTTACTAATTGGCACAACTACTGCATTTATTATGTTTAGTCTCTTGGGACCCGATCCCACTCCCACTAGTAACAAAAGAAAAACTCCCATTCATTTCAGCTGGAGCTGGACCAGGTCCTTACTCTGTTTTCAGACTTATTGTCAAGACTGAATTTTATTTCTAATCATTGGCACATGTCCTTAAGGGACCACACATTTCTACCAGTTCAGTCACATTGTTCCTCAGAATTTGTCTTTGTTTTTGGAACAAACTTCAGCCTTTAATACTGTAATTTCCTTTTTCTTTATTTCCATATATATCATTTACAGGCAGTGTATAATTTACCAGAAGCTAGCAATGGGTGATGATTACTGTTTTGTTCATTCCATCTGGGACACCTGTCATTGACCACTATTCTAAGAGAGGATACTGGGCTAGATGGATCTTTTGTTCTGATCCAGTAGGGCTGTTCTTACGTTCTTATTAAAAAGAGGAGCCCCTAAAACAACCCTGGACAATCTGTACATCTTTCCATAATAATAAGTAAGGCTCCCTAAATGTCACTGAGGCTGGAGAAGTCACAGACTCCATGACTTTCCACAACCTCCATGACCTCGGCAGCAGCCAGCGTGGCTGACCCCAAGGCCACCCAAGCTGTTAGCCCCAGGACCAGCTGCTCAGATGTTCCAGGAGATCGCCATACAGGAGGCAACAGTCATACATTTTTATATATTTATTAATTATTTTATTTTGTATATTAGGAACAAAAAAGGACCCCGATTTTGGATAGATTTTTTTTTCCTGGTCAAGAATAAGCCATGGATGTATGTTCGGAAAATACCCAAAGTCAATAGGATACACTATATTTGATTCCTTGATGGACTTATTGAAGACAGTTGACATACAAGTTGAGCACTCTTGCAGCTCAGACAATGCCGCAGTCATGGTGGGAGAAAACTATTCAGCATTCGTGAGGCTGAAGACAATGAATCTTTTCTGTCAATATTGGCTGCCTTTGCCACTTTGCAGATCTGTGCAGCAAGTCTAGATTAAAGGCATTATCAGTTCAGTCAACATGCAGATCTCTGACTATGTTACTTTCCAAGCTGTTCCAAGTAGCAAAGGGCATTTCTGAAGCCAATTACAATATTTACACATATGTTTATGGGGCCTGTTCTCTCTGTGTACAAATGCTGGGAGCAAGATACCTCTTTTGTATAAGGTAAAGAAACATAGAACTCCCTGGGTTCCGAGCACAGGAATCCTTTACTTGTGGTCGTAAAACCACGAGTTAGAAAGACCACCTGCCATTCTCAGGTCACACTATATCATTGTCCTAACATGTCAATAAGCTGTCATATAGAGTCAGAACTTCACAAGAGTGTACACTTAATTGTGTGTGCATTGAGATGCCTAACTTGAATATGAATGTACAGTAGTTATATGACATTGGTCACACAAACATGCACACACTTTTTTTGTGCCCAAGCCATCCTGGAAATCGGGTCTTGAATTACCTTTATAGACTTACTTTTTTCACTACTGCTTAGCAAGTTATCATCCTAGAGAAGAAAATGTTTCCTTTTGCTTTGGATGGTTTTTCATCCTTGGTGCCTTCAGTGCTGTGTCTGTGACTTTGACTAACCCAGAAACGATTGTGATAGTAATAGTGTTGGAGTAAGACACCCTTCAGTGATTCAGACAGAGAAAACAGGTGAATTAAGAAGGAGATAGAGGCTTGCAAACAGACACTAGTTTATGGGCAAAATGGGAAAGAAGAGAGCATAGCACGTAAAGGTGTGCAGCAGTGCAGAAGAACCTGACAACCTACTGCATGATTTCTCTATTTACCAATCCTTGGAAACTGACAGTGTTATGCAGGGGCCAGCAAACAAAATAATGCTCATACAAAGAGGCACTGACCTCAGAGTGATGTGTGCAAAGGATTTGCGTAGAACAGGTTTATGAGTTATGCTTTTAAATATAGAGCTTGAAACAGTGTTCTGCCAGGTGGGAAAGAAAAAGGCCAAATTTTGCAATTCCCAGTGCCCAGCTCGCTTCAGGAGTTTCAAGTGAAGGGGGACAAGGCTTGATTTAATGCTTGATATCCACAAGATTTCCTAAAGGCAGCAAAGGATGCCAGTTGCTACTGAAAAATAGGCAGTAACACAAGCAGTTGTGTAAAGTTGCCTGTAGTCTTCCTGTGCTCATCCAGACAGTATGATTCTTACTGCATTGCGTGCTACAGTTTGCCCAGAACAAATGGAAGCTAAAGGCAGATGGGCTACCACTAGTAGGGCTATAGAGAGCCCCAAGATCCTTGTGATAGTGTAGGTTCAGGGAGAATAGGTGCATGTGAAATATGGTAACCCTATTCCAAATGAGTCAGTATGGATTTAGAAGCCTGATGTTAGACACCCAAGCTGTCATTTTCAAAGGTCATGAAGGAGTGAGTCTAAAATACACAAATGTAATGGGGATAGGTGTCTCAGATTTGCAACTGTTGGCCTCAACTACACTGTTGCTAAACTGAAGCCCAAGGAAGGGCTTTTTTTCCTGTTTCACAGCAGGGCTTAAGCTATGTAGGGGCTGAGATCTTTTTTATTATTTATTTTCAGTGTCACTGTTTTAATGTTTAGAAATTATTCAGAAGAATGATTTGCTGACAAATATGCATCTGTTACTCAATAGCTTCAGTGGAAACACCAGCTTAGGGTTTTTTTGGCCAATCTGCCAGCCATCTGTAAGAAACTGAAAACATAGCACGGAAATGACACAGCCTGGGATGAGCTAGGGCCTATCCTGAATGGTACTAAGCACCTTCTGCCCTCAGTCAAGCAAATCTTGAATATGGAATCTGGCCCTGTATCATTCACTACCATATGATTTTTTTCATAAATCTCTGCCGTGCAGTTCTATGCAGAACAAGCAGCTATTTTCCAAACTGCAGGCCATTACAAGAAAAAGGATCTGTAGTTGCATTAAGATCTTCAGGTGCATAACTGCAATAGAATTGCTAAAGTTTTGCTCTGACTGAGTAGCAGTGTTCTCTCCTTTTGGGATTTTTTTTAAGTTTATATTAAAATCCAAAGATACTCATGACAAATTGTAGAACTAAGATAATTACTGAAACCACATATATCTGTACCGATTCACAGCTTTTACAAACTGTTTACTTTATCAGTTCAAGTTGTCATCTTATAACCTAGTAGAATTTGACAAGAGTATAAATGCATTACAAATGTAAACCAGAAACTATGGTTTCCATTAGCAATGAAGATAAATGAGTCATCTGGACCCTAAGTAAGCTTCTCTGAGGAAGAAACAAGGTCTAACATACCCTATAATTGAAAACACTTGTCAGGAAAAAAAAATGACCTTTTCATTCTCAGGGCAATAGCCACAGCTGGCATGACTTGGAGTAGCTCTATCTATTCATATCAATAGAATGAATTTAAACCAACTGGAAATCTGGCTCTCTGTTCCTACCTCTGTCACCATATATCAGCCAGACTGACAAGTGGAATGACAGCCTGGTGGAACTTTACTTTCTGTTCCCACTGGCATGCATTTTTTTAGATGGGCCTTTATGTTTGTTTATTTTTTGATGGAAGGCTGCTTTTCAGTGTTCTGTTTAGAAAGTAAAGCTGAAAAGCAAACAACTAACCAACTTTCTCCCACACTAAAAGTTAGAGTGATTGCTAGCCTCCAATAAGCACAGATTATAGAGGTGTTGGCACCACAGGCAGTTCAAATTGGCTTTACTTCCCCCACATTACCCTTTATTAAATAGGCTCTCTCCTTCTCAGTAAGGGAGATCCAGAAATTTGGTATGACCAAGTGGTAACCATGGTGCCTTCTCCACAGCACCATCCTGGGCTGCTATTTTCCCAGTTCATTTTCCCTCCCCACACCCTGTGATCACATTATAGAACTCTGTGGTTCAGAGACCATCTTTTTTTCCTGTGTTTTGTATTGTGCCTATCACAAAGTGGTCCTAAGTACTACACAAATAACAATAATTAATAATAATGGTGGCACTGACCCTCATTGCAAAAAGGTTGGCAGGCTCCTCCAACGCAGCAGTTTTATTCTAAAACAGCTGCAATTTGAATGATTCAGATTTCAGCTTCCCCCTAAAACAATTTCATTCTATGCATATTATTTGCTGGTTCTCTGCTAAAAAAAATATTAGTATCAAAGAAGAAAAAAAGTCAACCCCACCAGCTCACCCCTCTTTTTTGAATCTTAAAATAAAATTCATCAATATATATTTTTAAAATATTTTACTCTCAAAACTTCCCTGCACATCTGAGTTCTGATGTAACTAGAAATTGTAAGTACCAGCCAATTCTGAGATTTCCAGCTCACATTTGGAGGCTGAAGAGATTCATGTCATCTTTTCATGAAGCATTTAAGATTAGGATAATTGTTGAAGCTGTAAGCCTTTAAGGTTACATCCCTCGCTGTTATTCCTTGAGACAATAGGAATTGAATTTTGTCTTTATTTATACCTATGAAACTTCTTTGGAGTTGTGATGGATAGAAGTAGTGCTGGCCAGCACCTGGTGACTAAGGGGTTAAACGCAAGTAGCTAGCAAGGGTGTTGGCCAGGGGGCCAAGAGAACCAATCGAGATAGAGTACTGAAATTAGAGTTGGCTATAGATACCTTGCCTGTTTGCTTTGTGTGAGAGAGTTAAACTAGGAGTTGAAAAACACAGAATGATTTAAACCCAGACAAGACTACTATGCCTCCAAGGACTTTGGGGTATGGAAGTGGACTGAACAAAGAGAAGACTGAGGACTGAACAAAGAGTAAGTAAAGGGGGGGGGGAGTGAATCTAGTCATGCTCTGGGTATTTTTTCTTTATTTTGTGGTTTGGTTTGAACTGTTCTGTGTGAATCTATGCCTCCTTTCCTCATTTACTGTCTAAGCATTGTTCCCAGAGATTTTCTGTTTTAATTTGTTTTCCTTAGCTGTGCTGTAATACCTAGCAAACAAGTATGCTTTATCAAGTATATCTTTTGTTTTTGTTTTTGTTTTGTTTGTTTTTTATTTTTAAAGGTGGTGATTTGATTTGTGTGTCCTGGAAGGTGCAAGAAGTCAATCTGTCTGTCTCTTTCTGCGTGTCTCTGACTGAGAGGTCAGCTACCAGAGACTGCAGTTTGTTTTTCTCTTTATTTTTTTTTTTCAAACTCTCTTGTGGCAGAGAGGCTTGGGATACCCTGGGGAAGGAGGTCCAAATGCTTTCTTCCTGGATTCAAGAAGAAAGGGGTTTGTTTCACTTGGTGGTGGCAACTTTTTTTTGTTTATTTCTCAGAGCCTGGCAGTGTTCTCTCCTTTTGGGATTTTTTTTAAGTTTATATTAAAATCCAAAGATACTCATGACAAATTGTAGAACTAAGATAATTACTGAAACCACATATATCTGTACCGATTCACAGCTTTTACAAACTGTTTACTTTATCAGTTCAAGTTGTCATCTTATAACCTAGTAGAATTTGACAAGAGTATAAATGCATTACAAATGTAAACCAGAAACTATGGTTTCCATTAGCAATGAAGATAAATGAGTCATCTGGACCCTAAGTAAGCTTCTCTGAGGAAGAAACAAGGTCTAACATACCCTATAATTGAAAACACTTGTCAGGAAAAAAAAATGACCTTTTCATTCTCAGGGCAATAGCCACAGCTGGCATGACTTGGAGTAGCTCTATCTATTCATATCAATAGAATGAATTTAAACCAACTGGAAATCTGGCTCTCTGTTCCTACCTCTGTCACCATATATCAGCCAGACTGACAAGTGGAATGACAGCCTGGTGGAACTTTACTTTCTGTTCCCACTGGCATGCATTTTTTTAGATGGGCCTTTATGTTTGTTTATTTTTTGATGGAAGGCTGCTTTTCAGTGTTCTGTTTAGAAAGTAAAGCTGAAAAGCAAACAACTAACCAACTTTCTCCCACACTAAAAGTTAGAGTGATTGCTAGCCTCCAATAAGCACAGATTATAGAGGTGTTGGCACCACAGGCAGTTCAAATTGGCTTTACTTCCCCCACATTACCCTTTATTAAATAGGCTCTCTCCTTCTCAGTAAGGGAGATCCAGAAATTTGGTATGACCAAGTGGTAACCATGGTGCCTTCTCCACAGCACCATCCTGGGCTGCTATTTTCCCAGTTCATTTTCCCTCCCCACACCCTGTGATCACATTATAGAACTCTGTGGTTCAGAGACCATCTTTTTTTCCTGTGTTTTGTATTGTGCCTATCACAAAGTGGTCCTAAGTACTACACAAATAACAATAATTAATAATAATGGTGGCACTGACCCTCATTGCAAAAAGGTTGGCAGGCTCCTCCAACGCAGCAGTTTTATTCTAAAACAGCTGCAATTTGAATGATTCAGATTTCAGCTTCCCCCTAAAACAATTTCATTCTATGCATATTATTTGCTGGTTCTCTGCTAAAAAAAATATTAGTATCAAAGAAGAAAAAAAGTCAACCCCACCAGCTCACCCCTCTTTTTTGAATCTTAAAATAAAATTCATCAATATATATTTTTAAAATATTTTACTCTCAAAACTTCCCTGCACATCTGAGTTCTGATGTAACTAGAAATTGTAAGTACCAGCCAATTCTGAGATTTCCAGCTCACATTTGGAGGCTGAAGAGATTCATGTCATCTTTTCATGAAGCATTTAAGATTAGGATAATTGTTGAAGCTGTAAGCCTTTAAGGTTACATCCCTCGCTGTTATTCCTTGAGACAATAGGAATTGAATTTTGTCTTTATTTATACCTATGAAACTTCTTTGGAGTTGTGATGGATAGAAGTAGTGCTGGCCAGCACCTGGTGACTAAGGGGTTAAACGCAAGTAGCTAGCAAGGGTGTTGGCCAGGGGGCCAAGAGAACCAATCGAGATAGAGTACTGAAATTAGAGTTGGCTATAGATACCTTGCCTGTTTGCTTTGTGTGAGAGAGTTAAACTAGGAGTTGAAAAACACAGAATGATTTAAACCCAGACAAGACTACTATGCCTCCAAGGACTTTGGGGTATGGAAGTGGACTGAACAAAGAGAAGACTGAGGACTGAACAAAGAGTAAGTAAAGGGGGGGGGGAGTGAATCTAGTCATGCTCTGGGTATTTTTTCTTTATTTTGTGGTTTGGTTTGAACTGTTCTGTGTGAATCTATGCCTCCTTTCCTCATTTACTGTCTAAGCATTGTTCCCAGAGATTTTCTGTTTTAATTTGTTTTCCTTAGCTGTGCTGTAATACCTAGCAAACAAGTATGCTTTATCAAGTATATCTTTTGTTTTTGTTTTTGTTTTGTTTGTTTTTTATTTTTAAAGGTGGTGATTTGATTTGTGTGTCCTGGAAGGTGCAAGAAGTCAATCTGTCTGTCTCTTTCTGCGTGTCTCTGACTGAGAGGTCAGCTACCAGAGACTGCAGTTTGTTTTTCTCTTTATTTTTTTTTTTCAAACTCTCTTGTGGCAGAGAGGCTTGGGATACCCTGGGGAAGGAGGTCCAAATGCTTTCTTCCTGGATTCAAGAAGAAAGGGGTTTGTTTCACTTGGTGGTGGCAACTTTTTTTTGTTTATTTCTCAGAGCCTGTGAATCTGTGACTCTGGGGGGGGGAGGGGTTGTAAACAGAGCCTGAGGAGGCAAGGATTTTATGCTCTTTGTGGGCCCCCAACTTCTGCACTCAGAACATTCACACCAGTATTTCCATGTATAGGTAGCAAAAGTGAATCCAAAATGAACATATTCTCAAGCATCAGTTTTCCTTCTTGTAAAACAACAGATTCTGGAATGACTATGTCACAAAGGAGATGCTGAGGCCTCTGGCATGAGGAAGGAGCTGCAGACCAGAGGAAGATTTGAAGTGACAGCATGGAAACCGTGAATGGGGGTGTCCACCACGAGAGCTACTCCCCAGAATGAACAAGAGGCGGCATCAGACCAGTGGTAAGTGAGGCCCCTCATGAGAATGACACTGAAGAAAATGAGTTTGTGTTGCTCATTTATAGCCAGTCCAATATTATCATCTACACATAGGTTGCTCTGAAGGTAGGCACTGTGTCACTTCAAAACAAGATTAAACATGCAATTTGTGTTCCTGGTATTTTGGGTCTACAGGGCAGCACAATCACATATATCATAGCCCAGTGTCTGTGAGTCTGTAACACTGATGTACACGGCCGTGCCCCCTGGCTGTGTATGTCAGTGCCCCGCCCCCCTTCCCCTTCCGCTGCGCCGCTCAGCAAGCTCATGGATGGGGAGTGCAGACCCCAAACAGACACTTGTCACCACTTGCTCCCCCACCGGGGCCCAGCTGAGGGGCACAGCACTCAGCGCCATGGCGGATGGGGAAGAAGGGGGTGATGTACATTGCCACGCCCCTGACCATGTATGTCAGCACCCTGCCCCACTTCCCCTCCGGCCGGGGCCCAGCTGAGCGGCACAGCGTCAGCGGCACAGCAAGTGGCTGTTTGGGGTCCGCGGGGGCGGCCGCTTGCCGCCACTTGCTCCCTCGCCACGGCTCATTAGCTCTGGGCTAATGAAAGCATAAACATTTTTTTGCAGAGGTTTCTCTTCACTGGTTTGCTGTTATAGGTTATTGTAAAAAAAGTATAGATATTTTCTGCATTTTACAAACAGTATGTTTTTAGGCCCAATTTATTAAAACAAGTCTGATTCTGCAAAAATTCCTAACTCTGAGTAGACCCATGGAAAAAATATACCGCTGGGCCCATGTGTGGGTCTCTGAATCACATATGTCTTCCACAGGGTGATGTATTTGTTCAAGAACTATAAAACAATTTTAAAGTGAACTTGAAGGTATACAGAAAATTCATTTCAGCTCTGATTTCAGTAAAAAAAAAATCAAAATAATCCTTTTCATTTGACTTTAACTAATATTACCCATTTGACAGTCAACTCTTAATTTTCTTTTTAGATAAATCTAGTGTAATCAAGTTACTGAACACCCAAGTATGAAGGGAAAATAAATTTCCCCAGCAAAGAAATAGTTTGGAAACAGTTTTAGTCTGTGACCAGTGTGTTCTTCAGAAAGGCCTGATTCTCCATTGATCTTCAACATGTCGTTATTTGCACTAGAATAAATATGTAAAAAGCTGCCATGTCAGAATGGTAGCATTGTATCCTCACTAGGTACCAGGGTGAATTACCACAAATAGTGCTTTGTAATTTAGAATCAGGCCCTAAAGATAAATTCTGAAGAGTAAAATGAAGAAACACTTGCATTAGATAATAATCAAACCAGTGACTGAAATATGGCCAAATGCTGAGCTCTTTAGTTTTCAGACTGTCCTTACTTGGCAACCAGTAAGAACTGTTGTAGTTTCCTGGACAAGGACTAGGTAGAAACTGAGTAAGGATTACAGGAGTTGGCCCAGAATGTCCTAATATACTAAGCACTTCTGATTCCAGCAGGATAGTGTTGGTCAAACTCGGGGGAGCTGGAGAGAAGCTCCAGCCTGATACATTCCAGGCTGTAGGCCTTGATAAAAGGGCTGAGAAGGAGCAAGGGCCTTAGACAAGTGGCTCAGGGAATGGGAGCAGTCCAGGAAAGAGGAAGATGGCAGCAAGAGACTGCTACCATCAGAGGGTTTCTGGGTTGGGACTCAGAGTAATGGATGGACTTGCTCCCTCTTGGACTTTACCTTGCCACCACAGAGCATAGCCTTTACAGACTGCAGCTTGCCCCTGAGACCAGGAGCTAGCCTGTGGGGCTGCAGTTGGCCACCCGGGGTGGGTGGGGGTGTGTGTGGGGGGTGTGTGTCCCTGTCCTTAGGACTGCCCCGGCAGAAGAATAGAGCGATGGGCACTGCTGGAAGGCCATGTTCTGAAGTGACCATGGCAGATGAAGGGAATGATGTGAGTCCAGAGCCCAAAGGTGGAGACAAGGAGACACCAAACCTTTGGTGCGCTCAAAGGATAGAATGAATTCCTAGCGTGACAAGCAGGAGGCACCATGGCAGTGAGCTGACCCCATTACAGGCCCTTTAGATCCAATTTTGCCCTTCTGAAGCACATGGGAGCAGAATCATGACTCTGTTTAGATCAATGTGTTAACTGTTTTCTCACAGCTGTGAGTTAATTATGGAATCTCACTCAGGCTATGTCTAGACTGCAGGCTTCTTTTGGAAGAAACTTGTTTCAGAAGAGTTCTTCCGAAAGAGCATCCACACTCCAAAAATGCATCAAAAAAGTGATCTGCTCTTTCAAAAGAGTGTCCAGACTGAATGGATGCTCTCTCACATAGAAGCTGTGATTGATATGGATGGAATGGCCACCAAAGCACCTGTGATTTTTCCTCTTTCCTCTTTTTCCAAAAGAACTCTCTTCCTCCTCAACACACTTCTTTTTGCGAAAGAGCAAAAAGGCTTCTTCCTCATAGAATGAGGATTACCAATGCCAGAAAAACCTCTCTGTTCTTCCGATTTTTTTTTTTTGAAGAATGCAATCACAGTGTGGATGTTCCTCAAGTTATTATCTCAATAATATGATTTTAACCTAGCTTTTAAAATCTTCTATGTGGCAGGGTATTTGTTTTAACAAAATGTTAGTTGTGATATTGCTTAAGCTTTCTCTTAGGACAAATATAATTTAATTTATAGACTGAAAAAAATAAGTGCGACTATGTGACTACAAAAAGGTGCATTAATTTAAACAAACGTCTTCATTGTACTAACCTTGAGTTGTCAGAAAAGTGATACCTAAAATATTTTAATGGGGTATATTCAGAATATATTATTCCTTAACTATTTACTGATATTTAAGTACATCTGCAACTGGATGTGGCAGCAGGCAACAGTATTAGCACAGCTGGAAAGTCATTACTCTTGTTAAAATAAGTCCTAATGTAGGCAGTCTACTGGTGACATCCTGCCACAGTCTTGAGGGGGTTCTGATCTTGCTTACATCTGTGGCTTTCTTTTCTGTGGGGTTTTTAGGTTTTCTAGGTTAAAGCAGCTTAACATGAGTTCCTGTCTCACGGTCAGTCTGGGAGCACCAGTATGAATCTATTAAAAGCATTCCTGTACTAAACTCCAGAAACTGCCTTTTAATCCAAATACGGGGGAGGGGAGATTGGGGGGACTGGGCTTACGGATTACATTCTGCAGGCAGATAGCTCGTGTGTAAAAGTTTAAGAGGCAAAAGGGTGTGAGCAGTTTGAATCATGTCACTTGGGTAATGGAAGAAGCTAGAAATTTACAGGCAGTGAGAAGTGTAATTGACAAAAAAGGGCAAATAAGTGCATCAAATTGTGTATCTTCTGAAGGCCCAATTCCTACATAAAACTTAAATGTGACTGAGATAACAAGGCAAATTAAGTACAGCTTCTGTTACACGCCATTTCCTGTGTCAGTTTTACTCTTCCTTGCAGCATAAGTCTACCTTTGCTGAAAGCCTTACATGGAATAAAAAACGAACACTGTTGTATCTCAGTTCAGAGCAGAGATTATTTTTTCCTCTGTATTTGGCATTGGTGCCACAACTACCGGAATATGCATCCGGTTCTCGTGTCTACAATTCAGAAAGGATATTATTAAATTGAAGGGGGTTCCAAGAAGAGCCAGACAAATGTTAAGTTTAAAAACATTGCATAGTGATAAACTTAAAGAGCTCAATCTATTTATCATAACGAAGAAGATTAGGGAGCAACTTCATTAGTCTATAAATACCTGCATGGGAAGTGAGCCTTTCAGTCAGGCAGAGAAAACTACACCATGATTCAATGGCTGAAAGTTGAAGTTAGACCTACTTAGGCTAGAAATTAAGTATATATTTTTTTCATAATGAGAATTAATCACGAGAACAACGTGTCAATAGTTGTGATTGTCACTGCATCGCCTCTCATTTTTAAATCAAGACTGGATGTTTTGCTGGAAGTTATATTCTAGCAATTACTTTGGGGGTTCTCTATGATCTGTTACAATGGAGATCAGACTAAAATCTAGATGATCATAATGGTCCTTTCTGGCCTTGGAATCTAATCTATTCAAAACACAAAAGTAGTCAGATGCTTTGACAACTAACATTTCTAACTGTACTTTAAAGTTAAAACTCTGTCCCTATTGAAGTCAATGGGAGATCTGCCACTGACTTCAGTCGGGGTCACAGTTTCATCTTGTATACCCGTAAGCAATTCTGTAAGAATAAAGCTAGTGTGTACAAACAACATCTGCTACAGTATGTTTACACGGCGATATAAGCCCAAGTTTAGTGGCACTCAAGTCAAGTGACCCTGAGAGAAAATTCCTAATAGTTATGAGCAGTTGCTGAAGCCCTGGATTTTCTAACAGTGACTCATTCTGGGATTGCAGCACACAAACCCAAACAAAATCAGCCATACCCTAGACTTCTTAGCACCCTCCTGAAATATGGCCACTTTAGTCCCTTGACTATGGTGCACAGTGAGGAAACTTGACTGTATGCCTGCAAATTATAGGGATTTTGAACAGTCTATCCACACATCCTGCTGAGCACTCATTTTTGGTCTGTGTGCTCCCAGCCACTGAAGACTGCAGCATGGAGGGAGGTGCCTATTGAAAAATTTCTCTTACTTATGCTTTCAGTGCCACAATATCCAATAGTGTCTCATGGAAATTCTGCCTTTGTTTTTTGATCCCACCAAAGGCACCTGCCAGAGTTTATAATGGAACATGTATGACAGACAGGAGCAGCCCTAGAATAGCTACCGGTAACTGGTGCCCTAGGCAAACCACGCAGTCGGCACCCCTGCCTCCAAACCCCTCAACGTGCGTTTAAACTTAGTGCCCTACGCGACCACCTAGCGCACATCTATGGACGGGCCTCCCCGATGACAGATGCAGCAAAACCACCCTGGCAGATGCTGCTTGACACCTGATACAGCCACTGATGTACACTAGCTCTACTTCTGCAGGGCCAAAAGCACAGAATGATGGGATCATATTGTC